GGAGGGGTTGGGGAAAGTTGGAGGAAGCAGGATGGGGTGGGGGGGATAAGTATTACAGGAACAGGGATAGCCATGTAAAATGAGAAAATATTGTATTAAAAAGAGAAATAACAAAAAGAAAAAAAGAAATATTAATTAAGGTGAAAATCATGTTTGAAACTGGCCTTTCTCGTATCCTCTCCCACTAACAAGCCTTGCCTTCCTATACAAAAGACGGGTGTCAGAATTTGACCATATTGGTCAAGGGACTGCTTTCAATGTGGTAATGGTGTAAGACAAAGAGCTGTGATTTCCTGCTCTATGAGCCTTTGCTGATGACCTTATACTATCCTCACTCATTTGACCTCTTTTTAAACTTGTGTGCCAGAAAGCACGTGTGTGTGTGTGTGTGTGTGTGTGTGTGTGTGTGTGTGTGTACATGATCATAAATATGTGGAAATCAGAGAATGACTTCAGGAATTATTTCTTCACTTTCTATCTTGAGACAGGATAACTCTTGTCTTTACTATGTACTTCAGGCTACCTGGCCTCCCATCTCACTCTAAGAGCACTGTGTCACTGTAATCTGATTTTTTAATGTAGTTTCTGGGATGTGCTGGTTAGGTTTCTGTAAACTTGACACAAACTAGGGTCATCTGGTAATAGTAAACCTCAAAAAAAAAACAGAAAAAAATGCTTCTATCAGATGATCTGTAGTTCATTCTGTGTGACATTTTCTTAATTAAGGATTGATGTGAGACGGCCTAGACCACTGTGGCCAATGCCACCTCTAGACTTGTGGTGCTGTGCTGTATGAGTAAGCAGGCTGGGCAAGCCATGGGGGTGAGCCAGTATGCAGTATTCTTACATGGTCTCTACTTCACTTCCTGCCTCCAGGTTCCTGCCTCCAGGTTAGGTTCCGACCCTGACTTCCTGTTATGATAAACTATGATTAGACTGTGTAGGCCAAATGAACATTTCTTCCCCAAACTACTTTTGGTGATGGTGTTTTACCACAGAAATAGAAAGCAAAATAAGACGCAGGATCAGACTCGGTTGTTGGGTTAGCACAGAAAGCACCCCTACCCACTGAAACAACTATCTGGCCCTTGAATGCTTACTTTTTTAAGCTGACTCTGACATTATTCAACATGAATATGAAGACTAGCAATATGGGAACCATAATGAGGCTTTGTTCTTTTAGTCTAAAACAGTAATAAATATTCATGAAACTCGGTTTATATGGGTCATAAATTCCAGGGACAGGTAAATTGCAGAGATTCTTGCCTAAGGTGTTTCATATAGCTGCAGCCAAGATGTCAAACAAGGCTGCAGTCACCAGAATCAATCATGGTTATAACTGCCTTCAAGATTGTGTGTTCACAAGGCTGACAAGATGGTTGTGGTACTGCAGGGGAGACCTTGGTTTCTTCCTCCATTACCCTGTCAGATTTGTTGGGATATGTCTAGGATGGTGTGGCCATAGACTACATGGACCTTTCAAAAAGCCATCTCAGCATCCACGCAACTGCTGTCTCAGCATGCTCACTACTTCCTAAATGCCTTCTAGAATGAGACAGGGACAAATGCAACTTCCCTGACTTCCGCGACTTCCCCTTGGTTAGGTCCCAAAGAAACCAGGAACACAATGAGGTTTCTATGAACATATCAAAACTTGCCACCAGGTTCTCTCAACATCACAAGGACCTGTTACAGAGCCCTCCCTCCTCTCAGCACTCCTCACCCACTCCCCACCCTAAACCTCTCCAACCCAAGGTTTGCTTCTCTTCCCCCATCTTCTGATCCCTATATAACACAGCCATTTGGCCACATGCTATCTTGACCTCCTGGTTTTCTTGATTTTCTGCTCTCTTCTGGTCCTCTCTCTTGCTCCTCTCTAGCTCTTCCCCTGTCTCTCTTCTCTCATGGCCTGGTTCAGCCTGGACCCTTCCAAACGCCTCTACCTCGTAGCCACAATAAAAAGCTTCAACTCCACCATGCGTTGGAGTGGCCATGACCTTGTTTTCATTCACCCATTAACTCCACAAAATGACAAAAAGAGTCACAAAGCATAGCCTCTGTTATCTTTAAGCAAAGTATTACAGGAACCGGTACCTGACTACTAAAATCTAGAGGCTGAGGATGAAGCCCCCAACTATAAAGAACAATAAAATAAATAAGTAAAGGGCAGCTGTGGGCACAACCTAAACCACCAGCAAACAACAACAGTAACAACAAAACAGTCAGTGTTTCCAGAAACAGAATTAAAAGGACCCCAGCACAGGTGTAGGGCACTAAAGGCCTGGTACAGTAACGGAGTATTTAAGTTACCAGGCAGAGGGAAGAAACTGGATATGATTAGAACCTGCACCCTAAGATCCAGAGTGGGACCTGCAAAGGTACCCATGCCTATCAGATATGAATTCCACCAGGATATATTGCATCTTTGCCAATCATACAAGGGTGTATGTATGCTTTTCTCACAGCATCTGTACTATGTAGGGCCCCGTGAGAAGTAAAAAAAAAAGCTATGTGTGGGCAAATCAAGCTAATATCTAGATACTTAGGTGACCTCTGATTAATATCTGTGATATTTAGGAACACCCCCTCATGTTTGATGGTTTTCCACTGTTAGTGAGTAACTGACTCTAGCTGGATGGTGGGTGCCTTGAGGGCAAGGTCCCCTCTTCAAGGTTTATGGTGGCTGCTACTATGACGGCATAATGTCTGCTCAAATATCATTGGCTGAAAGGCCTCAGAGCAAGTGACACTCAATGCCAGCTAACAAGAGATTTCAGAGCAGCTGAGGGACAGAGAAGGTGCCAGGGAGGTGGCCAACCTGGTCACTCTTCCCCAGTGGGCAGGGGGTTCACTGGGGCCCAGCTGGTGAGCAGTCCCTGCTACCAACTGGGGCATCTCAGCTCAGTCTAGGGCAAAGAGGTGTAGGGATATATCACTCTCCCCCAGCTTAAAAAAAAAGAAAAACACCTCAGGTTCAAACTAAGAGGCCCAACTCAGGGCCTAGAATTCACTAAGGCTAGTGACTGTTACAGTCACCAGTCGTCATGGATCACCGCAGCCGCCCTCGATGGGGCGTAAGCCTTAATCGAGTCTCTGGGACTCAAATTCGAGCCCCTAGGGCCCCACTTCCGTTCCATGTTGAGCAGGAGGCTGGGGAAGGAGAAGAATGGGAACGGGAGCTGCCACGTCAGAGGCCTGTCATCTATGTACCTCCAGAAAATGAGGAGCTGCAGGAAAACGTTATGGGTAAGGATATTCTCCTCTCAGCGGGAAGATGGAGGTACTGGGAGCAAGTGGAGGAAGCCTGAGGAAAAGTGGGGGGCGGCAGGGAGCAGGACATGATGAGCGGCGACCTTTCTGAGAACTGAACCCAGAATCTCCTGGACATGCACTTTAAGACTGAGCTCTGCTGCATCCCTTACCCTGGTACCACATTTGATTTTAAAATATAATCACTTGGGACACACTTAAATCACCAAACTGTCTTTTTGCCCGCAAATTCCTGCTCGAAGAGAAAGGCTAGTCAGAACATATTGCTTTTTAGATTAGACCCTTTTATCTCTGAGTTTTCACCAAACTGGAAAAAAAAAAAAGGGCTAGGTCTAGAGAGGGAAATCATGGAACTACATTAATAGATCACACTACAGGGAAAAGATTACTGGACGAATAGAGTGGTATAATGCATGCCAATTGTGCTTTGGGAAAGTATGGTTTGAAGATTACTGGGTCAAACATGGGTAGAGGAACGGAAACCAGACACAATAACGGCCCATATTCAAAATTCTTATATTAAGGATGGAATTAGGGGGCTGGAGAGATGGCAGTAGTTAAAAGCTCCGGCTGCTCTCCCAAAGGACAAGGGTTTCATTCCCAGCACCCTCGTGGCAGCTCACAATTGTAACTCCAGCTCCAGGGGGTCTTTCAGTGTTGTCTTCTGGCTACTATGAGCCTCAGGCACACAAGCAATGCACAGACACCTCAGACAAAACACCCATTAAAATAAAATGTCAGGCGGATCTCTGTAAGTTCAATGCCAGCCGAGTCTGCAGACTGAGTTCCAGGACAGCCAGAAGTCTGTTAAACAGAGAAACCCTCTCTCTCTCTCTCTCAAAAAAAAAAAAAAAAAAAAAAAAATCATTAATAATAATTTTTTAAAAGATGTGAATAGAAGATGGTCAGGGTCTAAAATAGAGCTGTGGTTAGGAGTGCATGAAAGCAGCGCTAGGGCATGAGGGAGCTGACAGGTGACGTCACAATTCAGTCCTTGACAAGCTAAAATGGTGGGGCTGCCTCTTGGCGCTGGGGCAGTCACTAAATGGTGGCAGGGCATGCAGCAGGGTGTCAAGGGTAGAGGCAACGCAACAATGGGTAAAGGGGTAAATTGCGCTTTTGCACTGAGCTAGGAGGGGTTTCAGGTCTTGACGGGGAAATAAGGAAGTGACCACATTCCACGTTATATTGTTCACACTGTCCCCTAAGTGCACACAAGCATGATCTCTCAAAAACAAAACCAACAAAATGTATGAAGGTGACTTTAAATAGAGTATTGATTGCAGCCAGGCCGTGGTGGCGCACACCTTTAATCCCAGCACCCAGGAGTCAGAGACAGGCAGAGCTCTGTGAGTTCGAGGCCACCTGGTCTACAGCGTGAGTTCCAGGACAGCCATGGCCACACAGAGAAACCGTGTCTTGAAATAACGAAAAGTATATATTGCCAGTCCTTCACAAGCATATAGGTTACTTTGAACTTCTAAAGAGATGGAGTGAGGGGTAGGGAAGCTCTGTTATAGTGATGGACGTGGAAGCACACCGGCACTTGGGTCGCCACTCACCCCCACCCCCATCCCCACCCTGAAAGACGCCTTTGATAAGTTCGGAAAACATTTCTGCTTGCTTGGACGACTGTAAGGCGCAGGCGCAGAAACTCGTGGGGGTGCGAGGCGGGGCCTGCGCCCACGTGGCAGGGGGGGCGGAGTGGGGCGGAGCAAGTCTCGCGAGGCCGCGCCCTGGTTCGCGCGGTCTCTAGCGCGCCGTTTTAGCCGCTTGGCGGCGGGGGACTCCAAGCTTAAGCTGAGGGACGTGTTTTCGCGCTCGCTCGGTCATGGAGGTGCGGTCCAAGCTGCTGGACTCGACTACTCCGTCCCGTCGCTGGACCCGAAAGGTGGTGCTGATCCTGCCGCTGCTGCTGCTGTTTCTGTTGCGGACCCACGCTCTGCAGGGCTTGGAGTCGGAGGAGCGGTTCCGGACCCGGGAAAATGAGTGCCACTTCTACGCTGGTGGACAAGTGTACCCGGGAGAGGTGTCCCGGGTTTCGGTCGCAGATCACTCCCTGCATCTAAGCAAAGCCAAGAGTAGGTGGTGCCCTGCGGAGGTTGGGTGAATGGGGAAAAACTCGGGAATACTTGGACCCTTTTTGTGGATGCTACGGAAGGGTGGGGCTGGAGTTGGGCCGCTCCCCCAAGGCTGCCTCAGAGCTCTGGGTCCACCCCGTTGTCTTTGTGGGTGTGAGGATGGGTTCCTGGTGTGAAGAAAGATGGTTTCCTCTGACCAGATTTTGGGAGAGGTAGCGGTTACCCCTAAAGCCACAAATGGGGGTGTTCCTAGTCCCGGGCTTGCAGGCTTGGAGGATGTTGTGCAAACTAAAAGACTTTCTTAAATGTCCGAAAATGCCTGCAGCAGCCCTGTCTGTTCCAGGGAAGAGAGTTCATTGAGAAGTTGAATAATGATTCACAGAGAGTTTGATTAAGCAGGGAAGTGGCTAAACAAAATGTTCAGAAGGTCAAACTTTTTTTTTGTAACATACTAAGATTTTTATTGGAAGTCATCTCCCCAAAATATGTACAGTTAGTGGATATTGATATTTCTAAAAACAAAATGAAGTATTTTGGAGGGAAACTGGGGTTGGGAGTGGAAGTGGCACAATTGGGTTTATTGGGTTGATGGTACTGCCAACTGGGCTTTTCATTATTTGTCTTTCTGTCCAGTGTTTGAAGCTAGTGGCCACTCTCAGAAAAGACACGTCAGACTAAGTAGACACTGAGAAAGTCAGGGCCTGCTGCATCTGGATATTAAGACTGCCAAAAAGAAGTGACCAGAGCATCCAGACAAAGCCCGTGTCTTACTGGCTTTTCCCTAGCCCTCTTCTAGGGATTATTTGACATTCTGTACGTGTATGTTTGAATTTTGGTTGTTGTAGCACATTATGTCCTAGTGTTCGGTGGAAAATAGTTAGACTTGCTAGTTTGTGGCCTGCTTTTTGAGTATAGGGTCCGGACAGATCTGACAGAATGGCTTCAAACTCGTGTTTCATTGCAGAGAGCCGAGTTTACAGATGTGCCCACGACACCTTGGCTGTTTCACAGTTCTGAACCTCCAGAGATAATGACATGTTGCTACCACATGCAATGAATGAGAAAGGCTGTTTTACCTCATTCAACTTTTGTAGTTTCATAGTAGAACTACTTTGGGACTGTTTTAGAAAGCCAGTTTTTGCTTTAAGACAATAATATTTCCAAGTCCCATTGATTTCACTTGCCTGAGGAAGATATTCTGAAATGTGTTTACTCAAATATGCTTCCTGTTGGAAACAAAGCCATTCCAAAGCTGTATTTGGAAGTAAAAAAGAAAAAAACTGGTAGTTATAGTAGTTTCTGTTTACCAAAAATCTTTCAAATTTGTATGTAATTGTTGGATATCTGTGTTATATACAGGCTGATCTAAAATAGGAGAAAATGAGAATTTTTATTCATAAAAGGGGATATTATAGAGCAATTAAGGCTATTTTTTTCAAATACTTTAATAACATAAAAATGTCATAATTTACATTTTCAGTGAGAGGAAAAGATGTGCACCGTGACCCAGATTTCTGTTTGGAAAGTGGGAAAGATCAAAATGTTAACAGTAGTTAAACTGATGATAGACGGGATTTAAAATTGTCTTCGTTACTCTGTTTACCAGAATCATTATGCTAATGCATTTAAGACATAGCTGTTTGTTTGGTTGAGACAGGATCTCTCTAGCCCTGCCTGTCTTGGAACTCATTTAGTAGACCACGCTGGCTTCGAACTCAGAGACCCACCTGCCTATGCCGCCTGAATGCTGGGGTTAAAGATGTGCATCACCATGGTTTTTGTTTTGTTTTTTAATAGGTAAAGAGGGCTGCTTTTGGAATTTTATTTAAAAATCTTACCAAAATAACTACAGTTACTCAATCAAAGCCAAACATTTGCAAACATCAGTTTTCAAAGCAAGATTCCTTTTCCTGACATGATTTTCTGTCTGTGTAAAATCCTTAAGGAGTGTTTAGTACAGCATAAAATGTAAGGCTTTGTGGTCATGGGCAGAAACATTTTTCTAATTTCATTCAGTTAATGTGTGTTAATAATTATAGTAACCTGAAAAAATTCTATATATACAAGTATGTTTTTCACTAGCACCCAGCTGAAACTTAGCATTTCCTCCTATCACAGTTGTGGGCGACAACTCACTCTCACTCCTGAAGTACTTGCTAGTACCTGTTACCCATTGGGACACAGACTTTCTCATGCTGTGTGATAGCTATTACAGGAATCCTGTCAAAAGTTATCTTACAGAGTTATAGGATCACCCCCACATCTTGCACCTTGAAGGTGTTGGGAATGAACACACAGCTGTTACTACATCACCAGCTTTTTAAATGCATATATGTTGCATTTCAGGGAAGTTGGTTTCCTTTATAACTCTATGCATCTTATATCGTCTAACAGTAAGTTATTGTTCCAAGTTCTCAGAAGTCTGTAAGCTTCCAGGCTGCCAGTGAAGTCTAATGCTTTAGAAGCCTCAATTTTCAGTGTTTTTCTAAAGCTGCCCTCTGCCATTCCAACAACTTTCTGTGTTATAGCAGATTATGTTTTTCTTTCTTAGTCTCCAAGCCAGCACCTTATTGGGAAGGAACAGCTGTGATAAACGGAGAATTCAAGGAGCTCAAACTGACTGACTATCGTGGGAAATACTTGGTTTTTTTCTTCTACCCACTTGATTTGTAAGTAATACATGCAAGTAATCACTAGTTAAATGCCAGTCTTTGTCATTTGTTATCCAAGGACAACAAACAGAATTTGTTTTTCAGCTGATGGTTCTTTTAATAAGGCAAGCTGAGAGAAAAAAGGTAATATCTACCACATATTTGAGTCACAAAGGCAAGAAAATAGACTGATAATATTTTAGTAAGTAGCTAATGCAAGAGTTAATACATAGTTTTGTTTGCTTTAAAGGCTTTTCTATCTTTATTTGCTATATTATTTTCCTGAGATTTGTACAATGAAATATCTATTTAATATATATAGTAATACTTTCTGACTGTAGCAGTTCTGGCAGCATTTTTTTTGGATGACCATAAAGTCAGTCATAAATTGTCTTGTAGTTATGCACATCAAGGAGTTTATTTTGAAACATACAATTCTGAGATTGCCTTATTCATGAAAAGAGTAAAAAGAAAGCAACAAAGAGAGAATTAGTTATATCAACCTCCTATTTTTTTCTATTTCAAATTTTTGGGGGTGTTACAAAAAACAGCAAAAAGGTCCCTTTAATTATGTCATTGTACCTTTCTTTGTCCAATAAGATGAATCTAGAACAATATAGTTGAGAAGTAAATTCATTTCTAAACATTGTAAGCCAGGAGTTAGCATTTTCTCTATCGGACAAAGAAGAGTAAGAGATTTTAATCTTGTTATCTCTGTGCTGCTGTCCCGTATTCCTATAGGTAAAATATACATGCATGATTGCTGTTTTGCTGCAGAGAAATTTCACCACTAAAAAGCACGATATGACCAGTAGAACAAAGTTTGCCAACCCTTCAGTACTAAGCCAAGTGGAAAGAATTCTAATAAAATTAGGGCTTTAAACCCAAAAGAAGTTATCTCTCTAATAAGCCTATGCTCTGGCTCTATTAACTAAAAGAATAAGTTAATTTCTAATGGAATTCAGAAGTAGATTTCTTGAGATAATAAGAAAGAAGGTAGAATCTACCATTAACCTTTTTAGAAAATACTGGATGAAAGTATGTTTTGTCACCCAGTTTATCGGGGACAGTTAGAACTATTTGTTTGCACATGGCAGTGCTATGTTTGAACAACTGAATTATTTTTAAATCCACTATTGAACTCAAGTAGAAACTTTTTCCCTAGATCTATGTTTTTCAAATTTTTGGGCCATAACCCATACATATTTCATTGTCACCCAATACACATCGATATGTACACAGGGTAACATTCATTCTCAGCCCAAGCTCAGCCATGCTTAATGTCAAAATACTGAAAAACTTCCATACAAAGTGGTAAATAATCACCTTCCCAAATTCCTCTCCAATTTGGCTCTCCCAAGTGGTCCCTTTCTGAAAATTCAAGGTCAAAACCTAGCTTCAAGTTAAGATTGAATATCACTACTGAAGATAGACATATATATATATGAATGTTTATATAAATATAAATATATAAACATATATATATAAATGTTTAATAAATAACTATCCTCATTATGTATAATGTATTGTCATTTTTATATTTTAACATTGGTTCCAGCTCACTAAATTAGTTTAACCATAGTTTGAAAATGGCTTAGCAGTCAAGAGCACTGGCTGTTCTTCAGATGATCCATGCTTAATTCCCAGCACCCACATAGACTCTTACAACCCTCTGTAACTCCAGTTCCATGGGACCTCATACTCTCTTTTGACCTCCTCAGGTATGAAGCACATACATGTTACACAGACATACATGTAGGCAAAACACTCATAAAGTGATAAGAAAACTTTTAAAAGAAATACTGCCTGGAATAATGTCTTCTCAACTGTTCTGCTAAAATTTTATATTACCCCAGGTGTATTTTACATAGGGCTGGAACACAAGGTGAAAGAGAAACTATCCAGAAGCAGAAGGTAGGACTAAAGAGTATTGCCTCATCTGTAAGCTACATGTAGAGGAGGCTAGCCCATAGGAATAAGAAAAACAAGCAAAATGATATAAATATAACTTAGATCCCTTGAAATCTGTAACACACTAAACTACAAAATATTGAAAGCTTATGAAATGGGGATGCTGTTGGGAGGAAGAAGGAAGCATTTCTCACACACTGATCAATTAAAATATAAAAAGAAAATTGGTTGAAAAGCAATTGAAAACTTGTTTAGAATATTTAATTAAATACTGTCTTAGAATTTCAGCTGGAGAAAACTCATTTATCTGCTGTCTCCTTAAGGTATGTTTTTATGTACTCAAAAGTGTTTATAATAAACAAACGCTTGTTTGAAAATATAGGTGTATGCTTATTTTGAGAATACTCACTTGTTTTCTTTTTTCAACTTTCAGCACCTTTGTATGTCCAACTGAAATCATCGCTTTTGGTGACCGAATTGAAGAATTCAGATCTATAAATACTGAAGTGGTGGCATGCTCTGTCGACTCTCAGTTTACCCACCTGGCCTGGTCAGTGTTCTGCTTTAAGTCTGGGATAAAATGAGTAGATTTATTGCCTAGTCATGTGCAGATGCTCTTAATATGTTAATGTTATAATAATTTGGGTATCCTTAGTGTGAAGAAAAATTAAAACACTTCTGTTACATAGTTATCACTGTGTTAGCTCAGTCATTAGTTTTTATAGTTTTCAAAAAGCAGTCATTTTTAAAAATTAATTTTAGACTAGTGTGACTGAAAGAGAAGGATCTCTGTGAGATCAGGGTCAATGCAGGCTACAAAGATCCTGTCTCAAAATCCAAAACCAAAAAATTAGTGCTAAAAGTAACTTGTAAAAATGTATTATCCTGAGAAGATATTTTATCTAACAAACTGTAACGAACTGCTAATTAAAATGACAAGATATGCCATTTCAACTTGTCTCATTGGCCTAGATTGAAGGAAAAACCTCAGTGTTACTAAAGGTGTGAAGAAATGGCACTCAGACATAGTTTAAGGTTCAGCATTCCTGGAGAGCAGCTGAGCAACATGTCTCAAAATCTGAAAAGTGTATGGATATATGAGTTTTGAATAATGTCAGTAGTGTTGGGCTGAAAAATTTTCACATGGTGAAGATTATTGAGAATTCTTTTGATTTTTTAAAATGTAACGTTCAATTCATTGAACTTATAAATACATGCACAAGTGTTTTTCCTCACTGGCAATTTTTATAGACACATTAAAATGTCGAATAATATGCAGGACAAAGTTCAATTGGTTGGAGAGCTATAATTGTAAGTATCAAATATATCCTGATTACTAATAGAAGAATATTAAATCTTCTTGTTCATTTGCTTTATTATTTTTGTAATGATTTTGAATCTTTCTACAGTTAAAATGCATGTAAACGAAGGGAAACTTTCAAATAATTTAGGTGGTTTTCTTTTTTTTTAAGATTTATTTATTTATATGTGCATGCTCTATGTGCATGTATACCTGCATGCCAGAAGAGGGCATCAGATCTCGTTATAGGTGATTGTGAGCCAACATGTGGGTGCTGGGAATTAAACTAAGGACCTCTGGAAGAGCAAATAGGGCACTTAATCACCAAGCCATTTTTCCAGGCCTCCAGTGTTGTTTTCTCTGGGAAATTGGGGCTCTGTTTTTTAAACAGATAAGTTTTATACTCATACTAGCAAAGGTTTCTACAGACATGTCAGAAAGAGTGCAGCAGACCTAAAGAAAAATACAGTCAGTTTTATGTCTGTCAATAGGGATCTATAAGATATGGTATTTCATACATTAAAAATGCTATGTGTATCAACATTTAGTACTTAAAGGATGTGGATATACTACCTAGTGGGAAAAAAAAGCATGAAAATAGAAAGTACAGTAGCCTGTTTTTTGTTATAAAGCGGGTATATGTATATTACCTGTATTTATGTACTTTCATGTGTGGAAAGAGTTGATTTTTAATATGTCATTTATATCTGAGGGCTGATATTCTGTCTATTACAGGATTAATACTCCTCGAAGACAGGGAGGGCTGGGGCCAATAAGGATTCCACTTCTTTCGGACCTGAACCATCAGATCTCAAAGGACTATGGTGTATACCTCGAGGACTCAGGCCACACTCTTAGGTACCTGTGATTATCATTTTGAAAAAACTCCAAGAACATTTATCATCTTCCTAGAAATAAGTGATACTTCAGAGTTAGAAGATAGATACTTTGATCAAAAATATCTTTGCTCTATTTGCAGGAATGTTGTAAATAGTCTTTAAACTGTCCCTATTTAAACTAGAGTTGCACACTGTTAAAGCTAGAGGGCTTCAACAACCTCTCTGTTTACAAATAAAATAAGCAGATGTGTGGATGACTAGAAATGGAGTCACAGTTAGAAAATAAGTTAATAACAGCGACCAGACTTGTATCTGGGTCTCCTGACCCCATTATTCTTCCTGTTTTCCTTTTATCTGAACTGGCTTTAGTAATGTTTTTCTAAAGCATACTTAGTACTTTGCTCACCTGTATCTTTGAAAAGACTAAGGCAGTATCGCACCCAGCAGCCTTTTCAGCTTACTGAGTTTTGATTTTTGACACAGTGTAGTTCTGGCTGTCCTGGAACTCACTCTATAGACCAGGCTGGTAGCTTGTATATAAACTAGTAAGTACAAATACAATTCTTTGATAAAAGGGCAATTTGAGCATTAAAAAGTTAAAAGTTGTTGAACACTTATTGAGTAATATTACCTAACACGGAATTTGCCCTTTGATTTTGACAGATAGCATTTTTTGAGATAAGATCTTAGCCCAGGCTGGCCTTGTTTTGAACTACATAGTTAAGGATGACCTTGAACACCTAATCTTCCTGCCTCTGCTCCCCCAAGAATTGGGATTATTTAAAGTCAGATTAAGGGTTTTGTTTTTGTTTTTTCCCTTAAAAGGGAGGGATTGTTTGTTTTTTGAAAGAGACTTACTTGGCTAGCCTGGAATTGACTGACTTCCAACTTACAAAGATCTATTTGCTTTTGCTTCCCCAGTGCTGGGAATAAAGATATGGGCCACGAGATATAGTTTTTTTAAAAACATACATACATACATATATATATATATATATAATACTGTATTTCATTATGTTTTTATACATGTAGATATTGACAGTGTCTTTTTTTTTAAAGATTTATTTATTTATTATGTATACAACATTCTGCCTCGATGTATGCCCGCTCACCAGAGGAGGGCGCAAGATCTCAATACAGATGGTTGTGAGCCACCATGTGGTTGCTGGGAATTGAGCTCAGGACCTCTGGAAGAGCAGCCAGTGCTCTTAACCTCTGAGCCATCTCTCCAGCCCATGACAGTGTCTTGATCATACTCAACTACCCATTATAATCTTTTGTCCCATTCCTGCTACTCCTCTCCTAATCCATCTATCTTCATGTCTTTATTGACACGTGTGTGTTCCAGTGAATTTGAATAGGGTGGTTTATAGGACCATGGGCACCTTAACAGTGGCAGAAGAAAACAACCATTAACTTGTTGAAATAGAAGCAGCGGGGCTGTGTCCCCAGCACCCCGGCCGTCTGCTAGCTCATGCCCGAAATAACAACACACAAACTATTCATTTAAAGACTGCTTGGCCCATTTCTATTTAGCCACTTCTAGGCTAATTCTCACATATTAATTTAGCCCATTTCTAATAATGTTTGTAAGCACCCCAAGGTGCGCTTACTGGGAAGATTCTAGCCTACATCCATCCAGGGTCGGAGTTGCCTGGGAGAGCAGAGCTGTCGAGTCTGCCTGAGGAGTCTTACCTCACTTCCTCTTCCTCCTGTTTACTCCTCCCACCTATGTTTTAACCTATCAGGGCAAGCAGTTTCTTTATTTAATTAACCAATGAAATCAA